ATCCCTCCACCCTGCTTCCCTCGGGGACGCTGTGACCGGGTTTGCAAGGGGCCCGTCCATTGCCCTGGGAGCCTCTGTTGTGTGCCATGGGCTGGAGGACTGCAGGACTAGCCAGTGACTGTGGGCATGAGCAGGGCCGGCTCCAGGTACCAGCTTGGCAAGCAGGTGCTTGGGGCGGCCACTCCGGAGAGGGGCGGCAGGTCCAGCTATTCGACGGCAATTTGGCGGACGGTCCCTCACTCCGGCTCGGAGCGAAGGACCTTCCGCTGAATTGCCGCTGCAGATCGCGATCACAGCTTTTTTTTGGCTGCTTGGGGCGGCCAAAACCCTGGAGCCGGCCCTGGGCATGAGAGGGGAGCCTGTTACCCGCACAACATTTTCTATTTCTCGCTCACTCTAGGGGCACCCACCCTTACCCCATTCCTAGGGCTCAGGTGTAACCTTACTCTCTAGGGCACCCACCCTTACTCTGTTCCTAGGGCTCAGGTGTAACCCTGTTAATTCAGGCACCCAGCCTTACCCTTCCATGGGCTCAGGCGAAACCTTACACTGTGGGTTTGCGGGGTCTTTTACCAGTGAAAGAGCCTTACACAGTAATATGCTTAACCTCTATTTATTAACAATCACCAAACAGAATGCACATGCTAAGCATACAATGCTGAGCTCACCACTCCCAATAAGGCAGACAGACGTTTCCTGGTGGCCAGTCAGGCTCAGGTCGTCTGGGGGACTCCAGCTTCTGCACGGTGGGGTTGGCAGGGTGCTGAGGTCTGGGAGTTCTGATCTTGGGCTGTGTCCTGGAGTTGGTTCTCAAGAACTTCCTTTTGGACCCCAGTTTATGTAGTGGAGCTTGAGTCCTGCTTAGCTGTACCTTAACCAACCATTTTACTAAATTACTAAATAATTTTCTAACCACTCCTAACCTATTGTAAAACCATTCTTTAACCAATCATATCCCACCACCTTCATTGATTTACACTTCGCAAAATTAGCTGTGCAACAAACAAACAATCAAAGAACCAGAGACCAGACAGATAAACAATAGAGAAATGGGGATCCTAAAGGCAAAACAATAAAGTATAGATTTTACAATCACAACTGTTGAGCAGTGATTTCTCGCCAGACGGAATGCCATCCAACAACGTTTTCTTTAAAGAAACAGCTCTTAAGCTGGTTATCTGGTGGTGGAGGTATTAACAGCCCCATATGACATTGTTTTAATGTCATTTAGATGGAATGTGAGGATGTGACTTTCTGCTTCTTAGCTCATGGTTGCTGCCTTCCTAATATGGCCACAGACAAAGGCCTCAGACCTTACAATATGGCTACAGGAAAAGGCCTTGTCCTTCCAAGCCTGTGCCGCTGGGCAGCCCCCGAGCACTCCCTTTCCATTCACCCCTGCTGCAGCAGCCGGCTCACCTGGAGCAGCTCCCTGCTATGTGCCGGGGCGCTTTGTTCCAGCTGCCTTGCCCACCCAGCCAGGGGGCGTCTCTCCAGGTGTCAGTCTGCCGCGCCAGCCCCCACAGGGAGCAGGCAAAGCACAGCCTGGAAGAATGGCCTGTTGTCGTCCCACCCATAAATTACATGGGAAATCAGTCGGTGCCCGTGGGGCAGGGAGAAGTGGCTCTTCAGGAGGTCCGAGAGGAAGCAGCGCAGCAGTTTGTATTTATGTGAAATAAAAACAACCTGAGTCCGCTGTCCAGGTCTGGTGCTAGAACGTCACACCCGCGTGGTGGTGACTGCGTAATGCAGGACAGCTGATCTGGGCGCCCAGCCCTGGCATCCAAAAGCAGGCTGGTGACGGGAGCTTCTCTGCGGCAGCACTATTCCTCGCTTCGTTACCGTCCCATGGGGTCTCGGTTCCAGCTCAGCACCTCCGAGCGGAGCTGCTCAGCGAATGGCATTTCCACCCCACGGGGGCTCGGACACGTCCGAATTCCCCTTTGTCCCCAGCTGGGATAAAAATTCAAACTTTTCATATTGCCTCTGAAATGGAAATTCCGGAATATTTTGTTTCTGAAACATCCTCATTGGAATGTTTTGTTTCAATAATGTCAAGGCATTCTAACCTAGTACAATATATTAAATCTGTACAGAATGGTAAATAGCTATATTAATAGAATACAATTACATTTAAAAAAAAATAGTCCAAGTGAAATAAGGTCACAATGAGCTATTCCATTTCGATGCACGTTGTTCTGAAATTTGACGTTTCTTTGAAATCAACCTGTTCCCATGAAACGTTTTGATTTCAAAACAGCATTTTCCAGTGGGAAAACTGTTCCATCCAAAAGTGTTGACCTGCTCCACCTAGGAGAATAGGAACTGCCAGACTGGATCAGACCCCCTGGCCATCTAACCAGGGCCGGCGCAACCCATTAGGCGACCTAGGCGGTCACCTAGGGCACTACAATTTGGGGGGCGGCGACCGCGGCGGCATTTCAGGGCGGGACCTTCCGCCGCCTCTGTGTGGGGCGGCATTTCGGAGCGGGACCTTCCGCCGCCTAGGGTGGCAGAAAAGCTGGCAGCGCTCCTGCATCTAACCTACTGTCCTGTCTCCGGCAGGAGTCAGAGGCTTCCAAGGAAGGGGCAGAAACCCTGGTAATGGGGGATTTTATAGACTAACCTGCCCACGGATCAAGTTCCACCCTCTCCCAGCAGTTAGTGGTGGGCTTAGGGCTGAAGCAGGAGAATTTTAAATCCTCTTTCTTTTAGTCTCTTTTTTCAAAATTTTCCCCCTTCTTTCCTTAATGGATCTTCTCATTATCCCTGTCATTGTGAAACCTGCTTGTAAGACTGGAACGCCAGGAGAAACGTTCTTATTGGCCGACACAGTAGGGAGCCCTTACATTTGGTCAATCCTTGATGCTGATTGGCTGAGAGGGTAGCTACGTGTCATGGCACAAAAAGGCCAGTTTCTCTTTTCTTTTTTTAATTCACTTTTGGGGGATGTTGCTTTTCCTTTATGCTCGTTGCAGAAGCAATGGCAATAAAAATGCCCCTGCTGTGACTTTGAGCCCAAAGGCCCACCCCAGCCCCGCCCCAGGAAAGCAGTCCCCCTAGGTGGTGCTGGCTAGCTCCGAGCTGTAGCAGCACTGCGATTGCTGAGCTCTGGTTGTTTGATCAGCAGCCGGGAATCTGGAGGGCGAGTTGATGGTTAGTCACTGACGTTTAGCAGCATCGTAGTGTTGGGTTTGGTTTTTTTATGATGCTCAATAAAAGCAGACATTGCTCCAGCTGACAGAGGAACATACATTGTGCTTGGCTTTTATTTAAGCCCCCGCCACAGGCTGCTGCCATGCGATCTTGCAACTTTATCTTAGGCCAATAACACGGGGCGTTACTAATGACCTAGGCATGCAGCCCCCATGTTGGCTTAATATTGATCTTTAACGACCTCTGCAGCACGCTCCGTGAGCACGACTGGCGTGTGACCCTCGCTTGTCACCAGCCCGAGGACTGTAGTGCCTCGTGATCCTGCCACCATCCGCTGAGTCCTGCACTCCTGTGCGGCTGCCCTTGCTGTGTGGATGCCCTCCTGGATGTAAGCAGGGGGCACTGCCAGGCACAGTTGGGGTAGCTGGTAGGAGCTCCCTGGTGCGCTGGCAGGTGGGCAGCTGATATGGGCTTGAGGGGGAAATGGATTAATTAAGGTGGGCTGGGGAAGGTGGGAGTGGGGAGGAGGAACTCCGCTTGCTCCTCAAGATGGCTTGGGTAAGCAGCGCTATGCTACCCCTCTGGGCCGGGATAGTGAGAGCTCCCCCTGCTGGTTGCCTGCTTTAATCCCCAGGATGGTACTGGCTGTATCCAGGAGCCAAAAAACCAATAGTCTATTCCCCAACCCTGGCCTCTACATGTGACTCACCTCACCCAGGAGAGAGACTTAGCTGAGGTGCTGGCAGTCGTGAGAGGGTAAAATCAGTGGGAGACTCCTTCAGAGGGGGCTTTCTGGCGCGGTTACAGAGAGCTCAGTGATGGGGCAAACCAGCGTGCCGTGTGTTAAAGTCTGACGTCACATATACCCTGAGCCGGGCTGGGAAGTCGCAGGAACTCAGAGGACCTCAGCGCTGTTAGGTTAGGGAGCAAAACCAGCTGGGCAGGAGGCTTTTACTGCGCTCTCTGGGCCGGTTCAAGTCATGATGTAATTTACAAGGAACAGCTGGTCTGGTGGCCTTGGTGAGTCTGTCTGCACCTGGGGCGAACTGTGCCAGAGCTCAGGGTGAGACGCGGGGGCGAGGTGCCCCAGGCTCGTCGTCTCGTTAGCCGTTAAACTGCCCTGAGCGGCTCATAAGGCGGCACAGATCGACTAAGCTCTTTGCTACAACAGCTAGTAAGTGGTGAGCTACAGCCGAAAGCTCTGCTAGAGATGGGTCCAGAGCTCAGCAACGGTCTCTGTGAGCAATGCCAGACTTACGGGTGAACGCAGAGCTGCAGAACAGGATGGAGTCCCTATTGTGTATGCTCTTCTATAGCACTCATCAGTGTAGCCTCTGAGCTTAGCCTCATAACCTCTGTCATTGTCCCCATGGGGAAGCCTGGGTGACCTGGCCCTGACCACAGATCTTGCAGATCTCCTGATCCCAGTCCTGTGTCTTACCCACAAAACTGCTAGATGTTCCGTTGGTCCATGTTGGCTGAGTAAAAGCCTCTTAATGCCGTTCCTCTCTGGACTGGGCCAGAACATTGTTCCACTGTGGCCAGCATGGGTGGGTTATGGCTTGACAGCACCAGCCAAGCTGCTCTCCCTCCCCATCTCTGTTGTAGCGCAGGCTGAACTTGTGGCTAGCGATTCTCCCGCAGTGGCTCGGATGTGTTTTGCACAGGCAGATACTTACAGTCCGGCTGTAGCTAGGATTCTGTTTCTCATTTCTAGCAAGGACAGTAACATCTCCATGTTGTTGTTCCACAGGGTAAGGATGGACACAGCCGTTTTACCCCATCCACGGTGCTTCTTGTGAAACTCATTCTCACTTGGATCTCTTCTCTCTTCCTTTTCCTAGAGGAGTCCTGTCCACGGAGCTTGGACTGCACGCTGCAGAGAAGGGAGTTCTGCCCCCCTGGTTCCCATGCCTGCGGCCCCTGCCTCCCACAGTTTGTGGAAGATGAACACGGAAGATGCGTCCAGAGGAAGTGGTCCTCCACTGGTATGTGGGTGCCCAGCAATGGGCCTTCCTGCCGGCTCCGTGTAAACCCTTAGTCTGCACTCCGCTCTCGCCCCCAACTGTAAAATTCTCCAAGTTGCCTTGAAAGCAGGGATTTTTATGGGCTTAACTGTGAATTAAAGTGTATTGCAGAGGAGACGTACCCTGCAGGCGTTGGCAATGAAGTAGGATCTCTCCCCTGCTGCATTAGTGGTCCAACACATGGTAGACAGCTGGCTAAATTCTGCTCTCCGTTACAAAGTGCAGCTGACCCCTCTGAAATATCAGGGACCGTGCAGTTCAGCTGTGAATCGCCACCTCCCTTGCTGCATTACGTTACTTAGCACAGAAACCTAGTTCAGTGCGTCGCTGGATGACGAGAGAGAACAGGAGGTGTCCGGTAAATGGCAAGGCCCTGTTTGTCCCTGCTCTGGGAGTGGTAGCTGGGAACGGAAGTAGTCTGCCAATCATAACTAGACGCATCAGTCCTGGGAATGTATTCGTGGCAGTGGAAATCAGGCTCTGTGATGCTGAAGGCTAGTCACTCTTGCTAGAGCTCTGGTCTGTGTTACACAGAAGGTCACACTAGATGATCACAGTGGTTGAGCCCTGAGCTCAGAGCATAGCCCTGAGCACCAGGGGTTGGACACCTCCCCCCCCCCCCAGGTTTGAACAACATACACAGCCAGCTGGGAGAACTCAGTACCGCGGCTTTAGAACCCCGAAGGCACAATTTCCTGTAGCAGGTGGTGGGTACAAGAGCGGTGTGAACTCCTTTTGATGACAGAACAGTGCCGGAGGGGTGTTCTGCTGCTCCCCTTTGTAGGTTTCCTTCATCAGCTGTCACTTATGTATTGTGCATGAGGCCCTCCTTAGCTCAGTGGCAGGCAGGTGTTGCATGCACACTGAGCTGCTCTTGGTGGTGAACTCTATGCTGCCAGAGCTTGAGGTTTGAGCAGGGAATATTGGGAGCGGGGCATTTTCTCCTCCTCCCCTGACTGAGGCTGCTTTGCCGATCCCTGCAGCCATCAGCAAAGTTACAAGAGGTACATTTGCTTTACTCTTGCCCAGTTGCTCAGCACAAGCTCTCAGCCTGCATGATCCTTAGGCAGGGTTTCCTGTTTGGAAATGGGACCTGTCCCTTGCGGAACTCAGTCTGATTGTTATGGGATTGGCGTTTGACCGCTGTCTCATTCCGTTTTGTGTTCGATTGGTTTTAAAAGCTGAGCTATAGCTGACATGATCTTTTAAAAATATATTTCTGGAGGTGTCACCTGGTGCCTTAATGCTTCCCCAAGAGGAGGATTCTGGACGATTTCAGGCTGTGGCCACCTAGCCCTGCGGACACTGCACTTCTACGCCCTAAAGCCTCCCGATTTTAATCTCTCGAGCGTAGACAATTACTACAGCAACGGAAGGGGTTTCCCATCACTGTACTAAATCCACCTCTCAAAGAATTCTTCCGCCAACCTACCCGCGCCTACAGTGGGGGCTTGGCTGACCGTACTACGTCACAAAGGGCAGGACATTTTTCACAGCCCTGAGCGATGTAGGTAGGCACACCAGGGCCAGGAGTGGCGAAAGCTGCATAAAAGTGGGGAGCCACCGGTGCCCAAACCATAGCCCCACCCCCGAGGCCCCTCCTCCCAAGGCCCCGCCCCTCCTCCCCAAGGCCCCACCCCTGTGCCGCCTCTTCCCGCCAAGACCCCGCCCTCCACTCGCTCCTCTCCGCCGCCTCCCCATCGCTCGCCTTCACGGCCGATAAAAAGTGATGGGGCCATGGTCACTGTTCGTACTATCATCCATCTCCATCTTCTGCCTCCTTGAATGTCTCACCCACAGGGCAATGCTGTTCCCCAGCTCTTGCAGTGGTTGGCTCCCAAGGTTATTGGACCTGTCTCCCTGCTTTGCTTTCTCATCCCTCTGATTCATTTCGCACACTGATTGTTGACCCTTCTGGGAAGCTGAATGATGGCATCATATCCTGACGACAGAGGACCCTGAGCTCTTCATCTTTGCCCGGCATCTGTCTGTGCCACTTAAAACGAGCCCGGTATATGATCCTGGCTAATTGTTATTGGGCTCTTAGCAAACGCCTCCAGGGCCCATTAATGCAGTGCCTCTGGGGACCCGTGTGCAGCCAGCTTGGGTTTACTGTCAGGGTCATGGGCGCAGAGAGGAGCATTGACGTCAGTGCTGTAATTAGATGGTGGGACCTGGCGGGCTTGGGGCACTGCCGAGCTCGCAGAGAAGGAACTGCAGGGAAGGTGAGCAATGGAGGGTAATGGCAAATGAACCTGATGGACAGCAAGCAGGGGAGGTGGCGATGCAGCGCCAAGCCCACAAGCAAAGATCCAGTGTGAGGGAGGTTAACGATGTTGGGAAGGGAAGCGGATGGAAGTGAGACCAGCCAGTGTGCATCGGTGTCTGCTGAAGAGGGGAGGGGATCTACGGCCTCCCTTACTTATAGGTTCAAGGTTTGAGCTGGACCGGTGGAATCCAGTAACAAATTCTTAATTCTCCACGTGCTGCAGAATTATCCACTGGAAAGGTGTCGGGGTGTGTTGTCCAATGGACGCTGGCAGTTTGGGCAGCTGGTAGAATGTGCTATCTAGGTGTGCTCTGGATGGATTCCCCTAAGCTCTGCATTGCCTACCGTGACGTGGGGTAGTGCCCTGCCCCTTAATGCCTGGGATATCTGCAGGCCAGGCTTGCTTACGGTGAGAATCAACCAAGCCAGGTATGGGCGATGCTGTTGTAGCCGATGGGGCAGCACAGGTGTTGCTGGGGTCAGAACCAGGCGAGTTGGGTTTACAGCTGGTTGGTGAAGGTCCATCTCTCCTTCCACACACTGTGTCGGGCTTTGTTTTGATTGGAACCCCATGTCTGAAAGCTGGCTAGCAAAACCAGAAGAGCTTTTCAGGCCGGGAGATTTTTGATTTTTCTGCCCAGGTCGATTTGAGTTGGAGACGCTCTCAGGAACAGTGTGTGTCTTTAGACCAGACTAACTTGTTTCTGGAAGGGTTGAGCTTTGCAGCAGCTGTCTCAGGAGGTGGGGGAGGAGAAGGTGCCCTGGGGCAGTGCTGTGGAGGTGGATGGATTAGAGAAGGCCTTGCTTTGAGCTGGCCCTAGTCAGTGCGGGAGTGTTCAGCTCTGCTCTTTAAAGGCATCTTATGGGAGTCTCCTCCAGTGCAGAAGAAAGGAACCTACTAGCTGCCACTGCTAAAGAAACTTCCCGAGGGTGTGAAAGGAGATGTGAGTTAGCAGCTCGTGCCCAGGCCTTTCCCAGCGTGCGTTCCCACAGTCCTAGCACGAGCCCGGCCGGCTCCGTTAGTTCTAAGTTTAAAAGCCTGGCTGTCGAGATGAGCCACAGCGCAAAGTCTGAACAGCCCCTTTGTACAGACTGTGGGTGTGACTGTGATGGGCCTAGTAACAACCAGAGAACACACCTAGGGCTGGGTTGTAATGGTCACACAGTGACCCCTAGTGACCAATTAGAGTAATGCATAAATGGATTCCCATGAAGCAGGAAAAACGACGAGTCCTTATGGCACCTTAGAGACTAACCAATTTATTTGGACATAAACTTTCGTGCATGGAGTGAAACCTATTCGGGTATTACAGCAGGTATATTTATTAGAGCACATGAAAAGATGGGAGTTATCTTACCAAGTGGGGGAGGGGAGGGGAGGGTCAGTGCTAACGAGGCCAATTCAAACAGGGTGGAAGTGACCTATTCCCAACAGTTGACAAGAAGGAGTGAATATCAACAGAGGAAAAATTACTTTTTGTAGTGACCCAGCCACTCCCAGTCTTTAATAATTCGATGGTGTCAAGTTTGCAAATTAATTCCAGTTCTGCAGTTTCTCGTTGGAGTCTGTTTTTGAAGTTTTTTTGTTGAAGAATTGCGACTTTTAGGTCTGTAATTGAGTGTCCAGGGAGGTTGAAGTGTTCTCCGACTGGTTTTTGAATGTTATAATTCTTGACATCTGATTTGTGTCCATTTATTCTTTTGCGGAGGGACTGTCCGGTTTGGCCAGTGTACATGGCAGAGGGGCATTGCTGGCACATGATGGCATATATCACATTGGTAGACGTGCAGGTGAACGAGCCCCTGATGGTGTGGCTGATGTGGTTTCCCAATGTTCTGAAAGCTCAGTCCCATCCCCACTACCGGGAAAACGAACCTTCTCACACCCCAAAATGGTCTTTAAAGGCCTGCGCATCTTAATGCACATACATTCTGCACCTCCCAGGGCAGGTGCACCCCACGCTCTGGGACAAGGGCTGGCCTGAGGAATTGCAATGACTATAGCTGTTACCCCGTGTACAGGAGGGCGTGGGAATAGGCTGGCGTATAACTACTGGTCTGTGTGGCACAGTTCTCCATTCTCATTGCTTTAAACCCGGCAAAGACATGGCACTCTACCATGGCTGCATCTGAGACTGGATCCTTTTCATCCCATCTATCACCTCTCTGCCCTGTGTGGGCCCACATTACATCAGACCGTTGGATGCTCTGCATGGTAGAAACGGGATATTCACTCCAATTCTCGGCCCTCCTGCCCTTCCACCCCCTTCCCCGTCCCTCTTAAGGGGCCCCTCTCACAAGCAACTCCTCATACAGGAGGTGCACTCGCTCCTCCCACTAGGAGCAGTGGAAGAAGTTCCTCAGGACTACAGGGGCAGGGGCTTTTATTACCGGTATTTCCTAATACCGAAACCCAAAGGCGGGCTAAGGGCCATCCTAGACCTGCGTGAACTCAACAAGTTCATGAAGAAACTGAAGTTCCGCATGGTCTCGTTGGCCTCCATCATCCCTTCCTTGATCCCCGGGGACTTGTATGCCACCCTCAACTTGAAGGACGCATACTTCCATATAGCAATAGAAAATACCTCAGGTTTGTGGTAAGCAACAACCACTGCCAGTTCACAGTCCTCCCGTTCGGTCTGTCAGCGGCGCCCCGAGTATTTACCAAGGGCATGGCAGTTGTGGCCATGTT